TTCTTCAGCTGTTTGGTGCATCCACACAAACACTAAACCTGCTCCTGACAGCCTGGCTTTAGGCTACAGAAATCCTCACACGCTCATTTTACCTAAGATCTGGAGAAAACCTGGTAGAATTGAAGTACCTTAGAGAGAAGTATGTTAAGTACTAACAAATCTTTTCCCTACATGAGAAAAACATAATATGAGAGAAGAGGCAGAATTCAAACTAAATCCTCAAATAAGGCAGCATTTTAATGGTGGAGCTGCAGCTGGGCTTAGCTCTGCTGCCAAGCTGTATTCCTGCATCTGGCTGCCAATGGGAAATATGACCCAACCCGATCCCACCCAACCTCTCTCCTGCCTAAAACATTAAAATCTGGTTATTTTCAGCAGTCAGCTCCTTGGTTTGGCATGCCAAGCATGGCTGCAGAAATACGTGTGCCAACACCTGCACACTAAGGAGTTCTGCCACACCCCCAGATGCCTCCACGTACCAAACAGAGGAATGCTGAACAGGCTTTTTTTTTTTTTTTTTAAGCATTAACAAAAAATTACAAGTGAAGTGTATCAGGTCTGTGTTATTGGTAAGACTTGACCCGTTATGCCTGCTATGTCCTGCTCACACCTGTGTTCAGGAGGACCTACAATACCTCCTTTCCTTTCCCAATGCGCTGTGCTTCACGCCTCATGATTTACTGCCTTGCTCTCAGCTGCGCCCCTTTATGCCCCCTCTTCTTTCAAGTTCGTACATTAACTTTCCATCAAGTACTACCATACGTGTAGTAGTTTGTAATGAACACATACTGACAAATTTGCCTTAAAATTCCCATTTCTTTACAAATTGACCGTCCTTCTTTTAAATACAAACTAAACGAGTTAGGTTGTACATGTTTCCACACACCCCAACCATACCCTGGGAAGGAGACTTAAGTTCCTATTCTTCTTTGATCCTTGATCAGCTCCAGTTAAAACTGAAAACTCCCAAAGCCTGGCATGACAGCAGTGCTGTTGCAAAACAGCAACAGAGTCGCTTTACATCTCCCCAACTTCAGCAGAAAGAGCTTGCTGTATGAACCCGGGTGAAAGACAGAAAAAAGCATGATCTGATAAGAAGACATCAATAAAGAAAAAAAAGTAACTTACTATTTTCTACGAGGCAGTTTAAATCCTGTTGGGGAAAAGAAACAAACAGGAATATTGTTAATGAACTGATAGAAAAGAAACTGGGTTGACAGTGATTTGCTTCTGTTTGGTGGCAGGAACAATTTAATGGCAACGCTCCCTCTCAAACCTTGAGCAAAAGCTGGCAGATGTGGCATTAAGGTCCTCGTGCTTATAAAACAAGCGTGCCATCCAACCAGCCAACTCCCCCTGCTCCCCAGGAGTCAGCAACTTCCACGCAGAGCCCCCCAGCTTCTCCTGGGACCCCCCAGCCTCACCGCTGGGCTGGGAGCCTTGGGACAAGGAGCACAGAGAGCCCTGCAACCATGCCCTGCGTTGGGTGGAGGAGCTGCAGCGTAGCCAAGAGCAGAGCGTGTCTGTGTGCTTGTTGTAGACCTGTGAGAAACACAGGGGGAGCTTAGCTGGTTTTGTCATGCTCAAAACGTCACAGCAGCCACCGCCAAACTGGTAGTTGGAATATCAGGTAGCAGGCTGGTCTGAACTGTACTCTTACAATTACTCCCCACATTGCGGAGAAATCCTCCATCGAGCATTTATATCCTGTAGCACTGAAAAACACAGGTTATACGTAGATTTAACACAAATTAAGAGTCGCAGCCTCTGCCTTCCCAAGCAGCTGTCACACGTGACGAGGCCAGTGCTTTCCTGGCAAGGGATGAACATCTGCCTGCCGGGGATAGAGAACTTGTGAACAAAGTCCTTATTTTGCTTTGCTTGCTTTGATTCACCAGTTAATCTGTCTTTATCTCAGCCCGGGATTTTTCTTGCTGTAACCCTCCAACTCTCCCCCACCCCGCTGCAGGGAGCAGCTGTGGGGCTGAGCAGCTACCCAGGGCGAGCCCACAACAGGCAACGAAAATAATGGGCTACTAGCCATGTCTTTATGTTTGCAACTTAACTGACTGCTGTTAAAATGTGACAATTAATATTCAGTCATTTTGTCCTTCTGCTGTTCCAGTTATCAGCAGTTATTGTAAACTGCACCCCGCTAGGGCCCTTATATAAATGATGAGGCTTTATTTGCCTGGAGGGCAGCAGTACCTGCTTTCACCTGCGTGCTGGTGTTTCTGTTTGGTAGCAGACGAGACAATTAACCGAGCAACAGTTGCAATTCCTGCTTTTTGTTTCATTATCAGTGAATACTGAACCAGCACAGCACACCAGTGGATTCTCTCTCCCTCCAGCTGTATTGTTCCAGGTGGGGTGCTTGCAGTGGTGTTCCCAGCATACATGTAGGTGAGACTCCTTCCTTTCTGGCCACATTGCCACCAGAAAGGGGAAAGTATCCTCCCTCCACAGGGCAGCTTGCACCAGTTCAGCTGTTAGCCCACTCCCTTCCCAATCCCCAAATCCTCGCAGGGGTGAACCAATGGCTCCAAATGCCCAGAAGAATAATTAATCCAGCCAGGAGGTCCTCGCTGTAGGCATAAGGAGGCTGAGCTAACAGAAGATGATGAAGTGACAGCGCAGACACAGCTTTACACCAGAAAATATAACTCCAGAGAATGGCAGCCAGAAAACAGGAAGGAACTGAAGACAAAGACAAGCCAGTTTTGCAGTAAAATAAGCCAGTTATCTCTAGATTTGCACTGGGGGGAATATTGCTGGCTTTCCCTTGTAAAGGTCCACCTGACGCACTATCTGACGCACCAGCTCATTCAGGCTGCACTAACAAAGCCGTGGTCAGCAGAAACAATTAACCTAGTTTCCCTCCTTGAGCAAACAAGTTTAGATGATACAACAGAAATTAAGTTGCAGTGGTGATTTTCTGCTCGCCCACGTAGACGTGGAAGCAAGTCAGAAGCGTTGACAGAGTCGAGACACGTGCCAGGCCGCACGCAGCAGACGGGCGAGCTGCTGATGGGAAGAAAGGGAACAACAAATGCAGAGCTCCGCATAAAAGCTGAAGATAAAGCCCGCAGTCATGCAGCCTGCTTGCTGGGCACATTGTTACAGAAGAGGCCTGAAGCGAGATGTTCTCTTCTCACTATTTTCTTATTGCCTTTCAGGCCCGACAAGCCAAGCTATGGACATAAATACGAGAGCAAGAAGGTTGCGAGGCTGAAACTCTTACTGGTAGAAAAGGACAGGCACAGTCAGCTCCTCTCAGTTTCTTGTCCCGTTTCCACAGAAAGCTAAGCAACTGTTTTGTTTACTTTTTGAAGCTTTTTTTTTTTTCTTTTTGACAGCAGAGAAGAACAGACCATATGTCGTAGAGATCATACGAATGTGGAAAAAAAAAAAAAAAGAGAAACCGATTAACAGCACCATGTCATAACAATTCAATTAAATTAATTGGAGGCCGAGATTTCCCGGCAGGATGCTGTGGTAACTAGCAAGAAACTGAAGCAAGCTGGGCAGGCATCCAGTTTTCCTTTAAAGAGCAACTGCTGAATGGGAAGGGCTCCAGCTTCCCAAAATCTGCCTCTCACCTAGGAGCCACTCTGTATATCTCCTGAGGCTTGGCTGATTTGAGGTTTACTGAAGTTCCCCTGTCCGGATTCATTCGGTTCAAAGAAGCAGAGATCAATAGGACGTGAACAGTGTTTTATGAATACTTACTGAAAAATGGTTTGTTTTAGGAAACAGTCATCTTCTACAGCAACAGTTTGTGGCTTTTTTGTTTGTTTGCTTTGTTGTTGTTTAGTTTAGAAGCCATGGAGAAAAATGCTCTCTTGTACTAACTCTCAGCAAAATAAAAAACAAACTCAGAAGTTGAAGTTTCTTTGCAAAAAAAAAAAAAAATAGTGTTTTCTTTATCATGTCTTGGTAACTTCGATCACTAATCTTTTTTTTTATGCCAAGATGTCCAGAAATATTTGGAAGTTTGCAAAAACGGACCAGGAAAGTCTTCCACACATGTATCACCACCACTTATCTCCATGAAAGATGCTGCATCCATTCTTCTCCAGACTTGTAGCGAATACCCATCACTTCCAAGACCAAAGCAAAACACACCTCGCCAAACCCTTAAAGCTGGCAGGGCTGTTACAAACAGCATCCCCCTGGGACGTGAGGCATGCCCCATCAGGAAGCGGTTAAGCCCAGTGGCTGAGCACCGTGATTAAACACTTCACAGTGAACAACCAGATGGGTATTTGAGTGTGGGTTGATCTTCCCTGTGCCTAGCAAGAAAGCCCAGCCCCTCCTGCCTGGAGATGACACATCCAAGTAACAGTTACTGGAAAGAGCCGGGTTCACAGCCGTGTTATTCAGCCTTACAGCCGGGCAGGTTCATTGGAGCAGCGGTGAATAAGGCCCATTAAGGTCCTTGCTGGCGTTTTAATAAGATGAGCTCCTGCTAACGAACACTTGAACGCTTCGTTTTACTTTTAGTTACAGTTACAGGTGTCTACTGATACCCACACAGCACTTTCACTCCTCAGCTCCCAAACAGCCTCAGCCACATCAGGGCTTGGCCTGAAAACCGCCGCTGCTCGCCCTGCCCTGCCCTACCCGAGGCGGCGGGAGCAGGAGGAAGCGGTCCCACTGCGGCCACCCCGAGGGGCCCGGGTGCAACCGTCAGAAAGGGAAGGGAAACGGCTCCCGCCTGGCGCAACGTGGGCCCATCGCGCTCCTTGGGACGCGTGCCTGCAGCTGGTCCTTTCGCAGAGGCTGCAGGAGGGCTGGCTGCTGAGCCCACTCACGTCTCTCAGCGCCAGAGCCCAAGCACCGGGGACCCGCAGGAGCTCCACGGCGTGCGACTGACGGGCTCCCCGTGACGAGCGGCGTTTGGGATACCCACTGTTGTGTTAGACGCCTAAGCAATTTTGTAATATCCTCCTTCCCCTTCGCTAAGGATCTTGCGCCCGGTGATTTCACAACAGCCGGCCTGAAGTCAAGCCGCAGGAGCGGAGCGCTTTCTCGAGGCGTTTTTAAATAGGAGCGAAAGCAGCAGCGGGGAGGTCGGGTAAAAAAAAGCAGCATAAATATACAGCCAAACTTTGGGCGAGCGGACAGAGCAGACAAAGGATAGGAAACGCGGACAGGAAAAGGCTGTAGAAGAAGAGGAGAGTGTCACAGGTTGGGAGGGGAGGGGGGAAGGCACAGGACACCCCGTGGGGCAGCGCTCCCCGGGAGGGCAGGCAGCTCCCCGGCACGCTGCCCACCCACCGCACCCCGGGCTCTTCCCTCTGCCCAAGGGCACAGGCAGCCCTCAGCCCCCTGCACTCCTCACGGGCACCCCAGCTCCCCTCCCCTCCCGTCCCGTCCCGTCCCGTCCCGGCTCCTCTCCCCGGGTTCCCCCCGGGCCGTGCCCCGTTCCCCCGGCGCTTACCGGCTGGGAGCAGCTGAAGGGCGGCGCGGCGGAGCCCAGCAGCAGGCGCAGCGCGGCGGCGGGGAGAGAAGGGGGAGGAGGAGGAGGCCGAGGAGCAGCAGCGGCCCCGCAGCCGCCATGGCCCCGCCGAGCGGCCTCGGGGCTTCCGGGCTCCGACCTGGGCGCGGGGCCGGGGCGGGACCGGCCCTCACCTGAGGAGGGGCCGCGGCGGCGGGGCGGAGCCGGGGAGCTCCGTGGGGCTGCGGGGAGCTCGGCCCCTTCTGCTCCTGCTGCTCCTTCTGCTCCGCAGCCCGGGCCGAGCACCTGGGCCGGGAGCTCGCTGCCTTACACTGCTCTGGCAGGAGGCAGCACAGCACAGCACAGAGGGACTGGGTTTGCCTCGTTACTGTCCGACAGCACAGCCTGCGGCTGCCCGAGGCTGCTCCGCAGCCCCTCCAACACAGGAGAGACCCCCAGAGCTGCGAGGGGTCGGCTGCTGGCAAAGGAGGGGCTCGGACACCGCTTACAATATTAAACGAACCTGGGCATTGTTTAGAAATTTATTAGCAATTTTAAAATAACATCATTCCTTAGATAAAAATGCAATCTTACAGGAATATACATTTGTCCCGCACAGAGATGACCCCCATAGCTCGCTCGCGGGCCATGCGCTCCAACTTTCTCCTCTGTTGACTTTAAAACGTGCGAGAGGGCAAGACGGACTCTGGCACTGATGACAGGCTTACATGACGGTTACAAACTGTACAGCATTATTTACAAAAGCATTTCTGTGGGTTCATGAAAACTAGATATAAAACTGTGGAAGGAGGTAAAGACTTGAGAGAGGAAGGGGCTCGGGTGGAGGTGCAAGGGAGGGCTGGGGCGGGCAGGGGGCGTAGGGAAGAGTGGGAGAGGAGGTTTATATCTGGACTGCTTTATACTTGAGAGAGGTCATTTTACAGCTCTGGGCAATTCAAATGAAGGCAAAACACTTATATTTATCAACAGTTATAGCTGATGATCAGAGCAGGAAATGATGCTCCAGGGCCTGAACTGAAGAGGTGCTGAGGAACCCCATCTTCCCTGAAGTCTCTGGGAAACGCAGGTGTGCAGTACCTTGCTGGGCCAGACCCGTGCCGTACAGATAAAGGCCGGACACAGCACCCCCCATGCCTTAAACAGCTTTGATCCTGCAGTGCTCAGTCGTTGGTGCGGATGTGAAGTCAGACTGAGCGAGAGATCAGCTCCTAAATTACATTTTCACTTCCAAACTTGGACCAGATTCCAACCACTTCTTGCCAGAATTCACCCAAAGCGCCTTATCCCTTGATCTACCGGTTGGCAATCGTTTGGAGGGAGACTCCATCATTCGGAATTGATTTTTAAGGCAGTTTTAAAAGTATCTCCCCCCTCTTTTTGTGTGTGATGCAGCAATGTTTGTCAGAGATATTTACAATCCCACTCCTCCTCCTCCTCTGAAATCTTCCCACATTCAAACTGTCAAGACTGAAGAATCCTGAACCAATCACTCCTGTGAGCGATCGTGAAGCTGATGATGTTTAGGTAGTATTGGCTGCCAGTCTACCTGCTTGAGATGGGAGCGGACCGGCCTAGGATGCTTAAAATATTACAAGCATTACAGCCCGTTTGGGGAAGAACTCGCTTTTTGCCTGACTGGACAAAATGCAAAATGGAACGGAAAAACGCAGGCATTTCACCACCCGAACAATGAGGCTAATGAACGGTGTCTGAGCTTGTGGGTCTGTCTTGAACAGGAAAATGCTTTGGAAAGGGGCTGTGTGAACACTGGCAGAAAAAAAAAATATCTGTGGTGGGGTTTAACCACGCCTGGGCTCACCACGGCCCCGCGGGGCTCGGGGTGCAGGCCCCAGCCCCTGGACGCAAGGGCCGGGCTGCAGAGGTTACCCACACAACGTGGTGCAGGAGAACAGCGGCATGGGGGTGTGGGGGTGGGCTCCTGATCACGCCTCGCTAAGCCCTTGGTAATGCTAGAGAAGATTCCCTTATTACTTCAGCCATCGGTGCTGCTCCTCTCAATTAGCCCTTTGGAAAGGGACTTGGTTGAGTTGTCTAATTGTCGCCTGCTGCCTGAGGTCTGTGCCACCCGTGTGGGGCTGGTAGACGAGACACCAGCCCCGGGGAAGAGCTGCATCCTTCTGGACCTGCGGCTGCAGGCCAGGCTGAACACTGTAGGGTACCTCAAATGGCAGGAGATGCACAGTTAGGCAACCGAATCGAGCCCCATGCCCCTAAAGAAGGCCTGTTTTTTATGCTCAAGTGTTAACAGTTAAGTCAAGTTCCCCGTAGGGGGTAGGGGAAGAATGGAGGATTGAACTAGAACACTAAATTCTATCTCAGAAGAGCTTTTTAATATATATATATATATTTATTTTTATTTTTTTAATTTTGTTCCCCATTCCAGTGTGATGCTACTCCTCCTAAAGCAATTGGAGCCCAGTGTGTTTTCAGTACAGGACATCTCCCTCTGCTGTGCTTCTGCCCTCACCCACCCCATCTCAGGTGCTGTAGCAGCGAGGCCACAGTGGTTTCAGCTGTCCAGCAAGCAAAGCAGCAACAGAGAGCAAAGCTCAACAGAGAGCAGACTGAGAACCCATCGGAAACCTCTTGGGCCCCGGGCTTGCTAACCCAGAATAACACTTTAAGAACTTTGCAACATTCAAAAGAAGAGAAAATAAACCCTGTGCAGCTATTTAAATTTATATTTCTTAGTCTTCTTTGGAGAAGAAAATAAATGCAAGAAAAATATAATCTTTTTTTTTTTTTTTTTTTTTTTTCTTTCTTTTTTTTTCTGGGCCTAGTTCTGTTTTCCACATTCTTTACACTGACAAAACTTCCCTGGCCACTAGTGCACTCTATCCTTGTGTTAGCAAGGTGGGAACTGGGGCTTCTGATGACCAGGCGTATTTATTTTCCTCACACGCACTACAAATTTCATTGTCAGAACTAACAAAATCTCACCGCTACCAGAAGCCCCCGACTGGATTCTGCTTATTTCAACAACTTTGTTGAGCTCCAGCTTTCCCATTCCTGTGTTTCCTCTCCCCCCCCCTGCCCCTGCCACCAAGACAGTCCCAACGGGACCGTGCGTGTATCTCAGGATGCTCAGTTCTGTCCCGGGGGGGCTGCCTCACTTCAGCTCGCCGGTTGGGGTTTCTCATCTAGACGTACGAAGCAAGGCCTCCAACTTCATCTACGGCACAGGGCAACAACCCCATGGGCTCGTGGTGCTGCCACCTCGTGCGGTTGTGTCTGTGTGCAAACGTGCATACATTTCATACAGCGATCTGAAACTATCAGGCAGAAAAGACACAGGAGCCTGGCTGAGACCCATACAACTGTTATATTGGCGTCAGTCTAAAGAAAGCAATGATACATTGCTTTGGAAATTATCAAGAAATGTAAAAAATGCATTTGCCCTTTTTTTGTTGTTGTTGTTTTCGTCATCGTTGTCATAGTCATCGGGGGCAGGGTTCTGAGTCAGAAAACAAAGCAGAAATAGATGCGATTCTGTACATGGCGCCTCTCTGGCTGTCCCTCCGTGCTGGGGTGTGGTGGGCAGGGTGACAAACCAGGTTGGACCCCTGCAGTAGCAGCAGCAGCAGCATTGAAACCATCGTCATTCGTGTGTCCAGCTGAAAGAGGCAGATGATGCAGAAAAGGTCTGTGGATAACGAAACTCCAGCTCCGGACCGTGAGTTCCACTTCCTTCTCCATCGCATCAGCCACACAGAATAAGGAAGAAAAAAGAAATGCACCCGGTGTGGCTGGCCCAGTACTGCCTGGAATAATGAGCAGGAGTGATAAAGGGAGGAGGTTTGTTGTTTTGTAAGAAACGTCTTTAGTCTGCAGCGTACTCTTGCAAGTCAGAGATGCTCAGTGACAAACAGCAGATCATTTTCCCCGTTCTTTCCTTTCCTTCCATGCCGCTCCTCGGCCACCGGTTCCTCCACAGCACAGTGATCGAACCCACCGTCGGCTCCCAGGCACGGGGAAAGGAAGGACACTCCAGGAGCTGCACCTGCCCCCCGGCCTTCCCACCGTCCCCAGACTCCACCTCACCTACAGGAGGCAGTAGCTCTTTGCTCAGGCCTGTCACAACGTGCACGTTGGAAGTACCTCAAACGGAAAACAAAAACAAACAAGCAAACAAAAGCCACCCTCCGCGGAAAGAGGAATTTGCACGGCTGGCACCAGCAATTGCTGAATTTAACACCCGTCCCTCAGACCCACAAGGCGTCGGCACGCTCAGCTAGCCCAGTTTTCCCCACTGCAGGGCCCAAGCGATCCTCCAGTGGAGCGGGGATTGTCCCCAGCCACTGCTGGCTCTCATCCCTGAGGGAGTTACAGCTTTCATGGGGAATGTGCGGGGTGTGATCCTTTCCACCCTTTTCTTTCCTTTTTTTAAGGAAAAATCCTAAAAGGCGACACGCACCATCAAACACCCAGAACACCCATTGCCTTCGCTAATCTAGATCTGTACTTTGTTCATCAGGTGGAAGAGCACCTCTGCCTCCTCCTGGAAGGGTCCGGGGGGCTTTATAGTGGAAGAAAATGAGAAAGGAGCCCTTACACTGCTTCCTTTTTCAGGCACAGCCAAGCACAGCGTTATTTCCTGCCATGCTAGCTTTGGAGCACTGCAGCACTACCAACAGTCAGAGGGATGGAAAAGAAAAGAGACAGACTGACATCAGGTGGTTGCTTTCTCCAGGGAAGTCTTGGATTAGGACTTTGATGCCACATTGTTTAAATGGATTCATCTTTCCCTAGTTTACAAGGATTTGTTTGCGAGGTATCTTGAGCTGCTACTGGCCAGATCAAAGTAACACGGAAAAAAGCACACTGTCAAAAATACGTTTCACTATTTCTGCTTTATGACCCCAACGGAATCAAGAAATAAACCCAAGGGCATTACAAAAATAAAGTAATCAGCATATGTAACAAATGATGTTCTCACACATCTGTGAAGCTCAAGATTGGAACGAAAGTTTAGCTCTGAGTCAGATCACACCTCCTAACTCAGCATTGATCTGCAAGTTTGTGAAACAACCTGAAAAGGGAGAAAAAACAGCAGTAGTCTAGACAGAAATCAGCCGCATAAAATCTAATAATAGCTCCCTGTTTTTCAGCCTCTGCCACTGGTTAGGGCCATGCACCGGCGTGAGGAAAATCAGCAGAGGTTCACGCTTAGTGGGGGGGAAATACGTCTGGGACACGCCATGCCATCAGATGTTTTGTGACTTGGAGCCTGGCCTGTGGGCTAGGGCCTGGGAAGAGGGAATGGGACCACAAAAAAGTCATTTCACATCTGCTGTCTTGACCTGAGGTCGGCCATTTTCCTAAGCAACACTCCAGAGCTCCCTCCCTCACTTTCCCTGGGCTTTCAGTCCAGAATTAGGTAATTTTATTTTGCTAACGGTTCTGCTTCTGCTTTTTGCCTTTGCTTATCCCAGGATCCTGTTCTAGTCCATCAGGATGAGCTATTTAATAACAGCAATTTGAAAGCAGGCATTTTTCCCCGCTCCCTGAATTGCTGGTGCCAGCTGAACGTGCAGGATGGATCTGCCAAACGGGCTTGGGGATCTTGCCACCCTCTAGTGGGAAGAGACCTTTAGAGAGACTGAGCAATAGGAAAGAGGACAAAGCCTGAATAAAATGTCCCGGTCTCGGGAAGAAAGATTCTCTACCAGTAAAGTCATCGTGCATGTTTAAAGGGGGTGAGGAGGAAGGATAATGAACACAAGATATGCAAAATCAGTAACGTTCAACCTGTCAGTGGATTGCAGAATAGTTACTTACACCAGGTACACTTTGTTCATTGTACAAATTAAAAAAGGAAAAAAAAAATAGTACCCCTTTTCCCCAACCACACGTAGAAAAGCACTTAAAAGTTCAAAGGTAAAGCTTGGCACATTCCAAATACGAAATGATTCACTTGACATGCAGCAAAATATACAAGAAGTGATTCTGGTTTTCGTTGTCTTTTTAAACAAACTTAATTCGATTCATTATATTTGCTTGGCACAATTGCAATTCATTTTAAAAAAATATTTGAAAAATACTGAAACTGACCTGAATTCAAGTATAACGGTTTCTTCAACAGAAACATTATCAATGCAATAAAACATCACACGGAATATATCGAAGCGTAACGCCTTCTGTTTTTTTTTTTTTTGTCCCCCCCGCCCCCGTAATTTTTTTGTCTATACAGTTTTAATGCCAACACGACTTACAATTGTATTTTTAAAATTAACATTATTGCATTGTTTTTGCATATCTTGTGGAACAGAAAATGCAAAGAGTTACTGATTCCCCTTTCAAAGCACAGACAGTGGGCTCGTTTTTGCATCCGGACGGCCCCAGGTAGGGATGTCCCACGGCCCAGGCCAGGATGCGGAGAACGGCCCGACCTTACACACGCGTGTGCACGCTCGCTCGGCACCGCTCCCACGCTCACAGCCACTACGTGTGGCACTCAGAGGAACCCAAACCGACCACTCGGATGTGCAAGACTACATCAAGTGCATTGCCTACTGCCGTTAAATTACAAAACAACAACAAAAAAAGGAGCTGCCGCTCGCGAGCAAATCAAGTTACAAACTCCCGGTGTACATAATGGTTGGTAAAACGCAGCTATCCTTATACTTCTACCGAATGCCAATGGAGAAAGAAAAACCAAACCAAACCCAACCCAACCCGGTTTAAATAACACAAGCCGGCGGAGGGCGCGGCTTGGGAGTCCGTGCGCGGGGCGGGCGCGGGGCGTGCGAAGGAGCTGTACAGGCGTGGGGCGGCGTCCTGCCAGCCTGTGGGCAGGCGGCGGTCCTGCGGCAGGGACTGGGAAAAGGGGAGCTGCCTCTCCTCCTCCTCCTCCTCCTCCTCCTCCTCCTCCTGGCTCTTCCTTCACGGCCACGTGCCGGGGATATATCCGCTCCTGCAAAGCTCTCTGACACCACCCAACTCCGCGACTCGTCCCAACAGAAATGAATGAAGAACGCTGTTCCGGTTACTCCAGGTCACGAGAACAGTGAGGCACTTCTGAAACAAACCCATTAGGAACATTGAAACAAATAAAAAACCAGCATCGCTTCCAGCCCTGGCAACTACAGGCTGCTGATATAAATCCTGCTGTCCTTGAGCTCCTCCTGACTTTTTCTACAATCCGGGCTCTGCACCTCTTCCTCTTCCTCGCCTGCACTGTCCTGCCCTGCGTCCCTGCAGTTAACAAAAGGCAAGAGGTTGCCATTGGGGCTCTGCTTGCTGTTACCATTGAGAATGTTGTCTGCTGCATTTTCCATCTCTTCTATCGTCATGTCGCAGGCGTCTGCGAGCTCCTGGGTTGTGACCTCAATGAACTTTGGATCTTGAGCAAACTGCATCAGTCCTTCCGAAATCAAAACCTTCAAAAGGAGGCGGGGAACCAGAGACAAAGATGTGTTAGCACCATGCACCACCGGCCCCGTCGCGCCCCCACCACGTGCGCCCCTCCGTGTTATCCCTGGTGGTTCTCCTCCTCCTCCTCCTCCTCCCAGCCACCCTGCAGACCCCTGCACTGAGGGGGCTTCCCCCCATGCTGCCCACATCCCTCCTGCCGCCGTGGCCTTACCGCTTCCACCAGGCTGCCGGCGCTGCCGTGAAACTGCCTGCTGCTCCCTGCGCTCTGGCTGGGGACGGTGAGGGAGACCGGCCTGGCTCTCCTCGGGCTGCTGCAGCCGGTGCTGTCGGGGAAGCCGGAGCTGCAGTGCACGGACGGGAAGCTGCTGTTGAGCTTCTCGCTGGACTCTGCCCCCTCGAGACGCAGCGTGGGGATGGCCTGCTGCGGCCAGCCGCGGCTGCAGGGCGTAGCGGGCGGCGTCGCGCACAGCCGGGAGAACGTGGTGGGGGAATGGCTTCGCTGCAGGAGGGGGCTCAGGCCGGCCACTGCTAGCGCCTGCGGACACAGGGGAGCGAGGAGAGTGAGGGACGGAATGGCAAGGTGATGGAGAAATGACCCCAGAAAGGGTCTGCTACCCCAGAAAGTATCTGCTGTAGAACCTGGATGGACACCAGATGTGAATTTTAGATGTCTGCAGTTGCTGATAACTGCAAATCCACCACTGGATTTTAAGGCATCTGCTGTTGGTGGGAGGATCAATATCTGATGACTATGCTTTAAGCCATCCACTCCTTCCCAAAATCATGCACACAGCCTCTGAGTCATCCAGCCTCCTTTGATAACATGAATTTCTCAAGAATGCCCCTTACTGCACAGGGCTGATCGGATGCCTCATTCATGGCAACTGCTGCCTCGTTCTATAAGCAAAGCCATCAGAGTTGGGAGCTCATCTCACAGAGCTCACGACTGTCTGATATGAGCAAAGAAATAAAGGCACAGAAAACACAAAAGTATGTGGATGTGTTGCAGAGAATCATCTTGTTTGGGTTTGGTTGTCTCCCCCAGCTTCAGCTATCTACAAGCTCTGTGTTTAGTCTCAGCTAACCTGTGCAGAGGGATACCAGCAAGCCTCTGGCCTCTTTTGAATACTTGAAAATGCTCTCTGGAGGATAAGACTTAGACAAGACTCACACTTGCCTTTTGGAGATGCTATTTCCCTGCTGACCACAGTGGGACTGAGCTGACCAGTTGAACTAGGCAGCTAACTTTTAGATACCTGAAGTTCAGTGAAGCTCAATCCATCTGCCACTGAAATTCTGGACAACTGCTATCAGCATGCTGTGCTAATAATTTCAGCGGCAGGTGAACAAAAGAATCAGCTGTTGGTTACCAACAAGGTTCACCAACATTTTCTCAGGAATTAGGTGTCAGACTCCTACCAAATTTCAATGATGAAGAAAGCCCTTAAAAATTCATCTATATAAGTCACACCCTGCAGGCTATGATGGCCTCAGCACATCCCTTAAACTGCTGGGACTTCAAGGAGAGCCTTAGATCTGTCAGGTAGGACAACTGAACCAGTTTTTCAGCTTGTTGGGAGAAATACATACAAGGTGTTTATCCCAAATGTAAAGTACTGAGGAGGCTGAAAGAAGCTTGTAGATATTGCTTCAAGCTTCAGCTGCATATATTTACATATCATTATGTATGAGTATTTCATGAGTATACCCCTTCAAGCTCTCCTGAGCAACTGAATCCACTGTGCTTAGCAGAGGCAACCTTTCTGCTTCGTGTCCTCCTTTGAAGCAGTGTTGTAGGCTGATGATTTTATAAATGGACTGACACTGCTGGGTGTTGCCGACCAGAGGCCAGGTGCCTACTTCAGGGTAACCCTGCAGTCCAGCTTAGTGATGCTGGGGTGGGTAGGCCCCGTAACTCTAGGTTTGGGGCTGCACAGTGGGATGAGGAAGGGTGAAGCAGCTCCATCCTCTTTGTACAGGTTGGAAGAAGGTGAGTCTGCCAGCTGGGTGGGCTGAGAGGGTAGGAGACGTGTGTCCTCTATCTGCACTGCTGTGGGAGGGCAGGAGGTCTCTGGAGGGCCATTAGTGCTATGGGGAGGGTGGGAAGCTGTTCACAGCCCCTGTGCCCCAATACATTCACTGCTTGTCCCTGCCACAGCTGTAGCTCCCTGTGGATCACTGCTTTCTGGAGCTTGGTCCCTACAGCATAACTGGCTGCTGCTGCTGGGAATGGAGGTGAGAAAATGCAGAGAATCTCAGGCATGCTCATCTCTCACTCCTCCAGCTGCTATGACTTCTCACTCCTACCACCCCTGCCCTGTGGCACTTTCTGCCCCTGTGCCCCTGTCCTGCCCTGCCCTGGGGAACTGCACGGAGCAGGATGCCCCATGTTGCAGGACTGGTGTTGCCACAGCACCCGTTTCTTTTATGGTGACAGTGGTGCCATCCAAATAAAAGACATAAATGTACTTTGGACTATGACAGCTGGTTAGTCATCTAGATAGGTGCCAAAGCACACATTTGGTAGGCTGCTAGATGCAGTTATAAAGGGCTTAAGAGGCTGATTAATTACATGCAATCAGCTATTTTTTAAATGATTAATTGCCATTACAGGCTACCTCCAATTAATATAAAGGTAGACCCTGAACATTTTATTTGTATGTGTACTACCATCAAAGCCAGTGTAATTGCACTTTGGAGTGCAATTTGAGTGGTTATTTTTATCCTATAGATATTTTTTTTTTGCTCTTTCTTGGACATCAGGTAATGATAACTCCAAAGGACATGTCCCTGTAGCATTCTTCTGGGAACAATAAAAATCCTGAAATCAGGAGTGAGTGTGATGGCAAATACAGTTTTTAAAAATTGGACCTTTGATATGGGTGAGAAGCTATCTCAGATGGTGTCTCAAGGTTGTCTGGGATGGAATGGGAGGGCAGACAGTAGATTCTCAGTTGTGTTGCTGGGCCCTTTGATGTTGTTAATGCTTACCTGATGATGTACCAGATGTAAAGGCAGAACTGTCTTCTGCGAGACGTCTACACCCTGGTTTTTCTGTCTTTTCAGACACTCTAAGTGAAAAGATGCTCTTCGACCTGAAAAACCAAACACAAACAACTGTGTCCATCACTTATACTACACTACAGGTAATCTGAGTTCAATTTCATTTGGTGCAGTCCTGCTGGAGAGACAGCAAAGACACCCACATTTTAAGCGCTGTCTGCTTCCCCTTGACACCTTGCCTCTTCCAAAGTACTTGTATTTGCAAAACAAATGCGAGCATCATGGACTAACTGACACTATCCTCCAAGCAAGTTGCAAGATAAAGCTCTGGGTGATGATTTTTATTTTTCTCCCTTAAAAAATGGACCTAGCAGGTACTGTGCAGCTGACTTCCCTCCTAAGCAGTGAAAGTGTTCTCAAACCTTTCTGGTTCAGGTAAAGCCCTCGGTAGGGCTGATAGGGCAACCGAGGTTCTGTCACTGTGCCTGGCTGTGCCCAACATGCAGGAGGAGATATTGGGTTGCTCAGGTGACTTTAGCCTCCCACCTGCATGTATTCTGGGCCCTTAACTGCCAGACATACCACAGTTTTTGAGGCTGTGTCTATACCAGGATCAGGTGGAAGTGAATTATTCATTGGTGAATGGAGGCTTGAGTATGTACAGATGTGGTGCTTTTAGAACTTTGGAAATGGAAGCGAAAAAGTAATTTAAAAAAAATAATAATTGGGAGGAGCTATTGAAATATCCACATTGTTTGCTTGGTATGAAATTAAACTTCTATAATTATGAGAAGTGTACTCTTTATAAAGGAATTTAAAAGGACTGCAAAGTATATTTATGAAAAATTGCACAGGCTTTTCTTCTGAAGAATGGCAAATAAACACATTATTATAGATAGAGCTGCATGGCACACTAAAATATTTTTTTCTACTTCTTGACCCCATTGACATTTTTGTAAAGTAAGAAAGAAAATTCAAATTCTGAAAATAGTAGCTATATTATTGATTTGTTGAGAAAAGGGCCTCTCAGGGAATGGAGAAAGTATCTGCTACAGAGCATATATACTCAGTTGTATAAGAGCCTACATACTCAATTGCATAAGCATCTTGAAGAGGATTTAAGAGGTTTTAAGTCAAGTCTCACTTTAAACAATACACTACATAGACTGTCGCTGTTTATTTTGTAAAAATCAACACTTTATAGGATGCTTTTTCTTAAAAGAATCCTTACAGGATTCTTTTTAGCTTTTCCTCCAAATGTCTCTCTCTTTTTTTTTTCCCCCACGGGAAAAAGGATGAAAAGTTTATCCTGATACCTTTGTAAAATCTCGTAATTCATGGTTTCCACCTGAGCATACTTGCTCTCTTGAAACACTTGAAAATCTCCAGGTACGATCAGAGCAGAAAGCAAATTTGCATTGTGTTAGCTTAATCTGAAATTCACTGTTTTCCTTGTAGCAGACAAAAGAAACAACCTCTCCTTTTTCCCCGCTGAACACACACAGAACAGAACACCATATACCCAAGGCTAGTCAATACAGTGACTCCCTGGTGATTGTTTGGAGAGCCTACAGCGCTCTAATAAACTCCTCTAATCAACATGCAGCCTTAATCAAACAGATCTCATGGACTATCCAAACAACCAGGGATTATCCAAACAGCCACAGATTCATCTACTGACTGAGCATAAAGTCAGTAGAGTCACCTGCCTGATCAGGGTTGCATGTACACCATGGGATTCCTGGTTTCGTGAGCTAAATGCAGAGAGCACCAACACCCAGGCCCACACACACTGGGATTTCTCCAGCAGGATGTGAGAACTCAGTCGAGGCAGAGGAAAGCACAGCCCACATGTCACACTGGGACATTACCTAGTGCTGAGGAGCACAGAAACCCTTTCTTTGGAGAGTGTCGGGTGTCCTCTGCTTTGTTGTTTTCTGGTGGAGTAAGTTGTCTGTTTTCATCGTCTTGGTATGAAAGCCTGCAAAGGAGAGAACACAGGGATTCTAGAAAAGCAGCTCGTGTCAGACAGAATAACCCCTCTTCCAGCAGGAAAGCCAGGAAGATCATGCTATCAAACGGATGCAGCTACTGAGCTTGCTAAGGGGTCCAGGAGAAGCAACTGAGACCGTGAGACAGGAGATCTGGGAACAATAGGCAGTGGAAGTGAATGTGGGGTGGGGGCTGCACATCCAGATGCATCATTCAGAGAAGCAAAATCCTAGGCAAAAGATCTCCCTTTCAATTTTTTTTTTCCCCTTAGGGCTGAACTGCTTTATTTATTTATTTATTTATTTTTCCCATTATCATCTGATATTTGAGTTGTCTGACTAAAATCTTCTGGCCTTATCCTGTAAATTGAAATTTTTGTAGAGAAATGTCACCTCTTCCCACCTCCCCCCCTTAACTCAAGAACCACCCAAACACCTTGACTAAAGCTGCAAAGCTCACATTTCAGTAGAGAGCAGACTTGGTTCACTACAGTACTCAATGTCTTCATTCAAATTTTCATCATAAGTCTCATCCTGAGACACTTCCTCTTGGCAAACAATTGCCAGCTGGCTGTCTCTGGAACTGGAGCTAATGAGCAAAAAAGACAAGTCAAAATACAGAGATGGTAAAGAAAATCTGTTATAGAGACAAGAATGACAGGCTCCATCTGTCTTGGTTTATTATAATGTTGAAGAGCTATCATAGAAAAATCAATGACTGAACAAAACTGCAGAGTTCACAAATACAAAAGCAACAACCACTGTCTGTGCCCTCTTTCAAAGGAAGTTTCTTAACAATGTTGAAAAATACTGGAAACATACATGTATTACTGTGATTTGTGACTATATGGACTCTATAAATGCGCACATCACAGTGCCAACTTTCCCAAAGTTGTGAACTTGAGGTAAAACCTAAGATGGGTTCTTAGAAATGCATCTGTTTTTTCTTGTTGCAAAAGCCTTGGTTACAAATTTCAAAGAGAAGCTTCCACGACACTGATAGTACCCTCTCAGCTCTGTGTAGCACGGCCTCTGCCTCCCAAATCCTTTATTTTGCATCATCTTTCCCTTCTGTTTCCTGTTCATGCTCTCATTCCTGTTCATTCCTTTCTGTACTTTCCACCTCTGGTCCGTTTTTTTCTCATCAATAACTGAAGGGTGCTTCTGCTTCATTCAGCACGATCTGTTCAAGCTCTTAGGCATGACAGCCCTTATTTCCCTGCTTGCCTTCTCCTTGTCCCTCTGGTTCAAGTCTCAGCCCTCAGAATTCACTTCATTCTGAGTCTGTTTTTTGAGAAGTAAAGTAAAAACCGAAGGTAGCATGAATCTTTGAAATACTGACATAGAGATATTAGAGTCAGTTTGCTACTTGCATTCACAGAAGAAAGCAGTGTGACAGAGATTTTTTTATGTTTTTAAATCTTTCAGGGACTTGATAGGAAACATTATTTTCTCATTTGTTTCAGGCATAAAGCACCAGGAGAAGTGTGTGTATGCATAGTACAAAACAGTGTGAAGGACAGTGCTGGAGTGACCTTCCTGCTGAGATGGGAGACCAGTAAAACTGCTAAGCTGCAAGGTGGAGAACTCACTACATGGCAGCTCCCCCTTTTCTACAATCTGTGTTTAGCCAAAACAATTTTTTTTGTGAGCATGCCAGGGTATACTGCTCTGCACTGTGACCAGAGAGTGCCTAGATGTGTGAGCCCAGATAGGAACTCTAAAAAAACCTCCACAAATCAAGAAACCAGATAGAAACAGTCTGTGCATTGCTATCTGCCAATGGGCAGAAAAGCCCTAATTTGGGAACATGTCCTGGAGATGTCACGGCAATCATTAAAACTCTTTTCCAGCTTACTGACACCAAAAAGAAGAGCTTATCTTCAGCATGAATCAGGATTTGGACTTTCAATGGGACGAACAATGGGCCTACACCCAGAGAGTGTTAGAGCAGGAGAGAGAACACATACCGTCCCAGTGTTTCGTAGTAATGCGTCCTAATTCGAGGAAGGTGCCCAAGGAAGCAAGGAGAGAAAAGAACACCATGTTAACAGTGTCACAACAGCACGAATCAGCATGTGGGGGACAGATGATAACACAGTGTGTTATCAGCAATTCCTGTGGCCTCCCTAAGGATGGCAGGAAATAAAAAAGCTATTGGTTTGTTTACTGGGTAATGTGTACTGCACCCACTGAATTTCCTCTGTCTAACTGCCATATTCTATCCTATTCTGGAGCAGCATTTCTCCACCTTTTCACATTGCTCACTGTCTCCATTGAAAATAAATTTCCAGCTCAATCCTGCTTTTACTGAAAGTGTTAAAAAACATCGCACTGATAAAAGAGATATTCCTCTTGAATTAGTCACCTATGTGCAGACAGCCTGAAGGATGTCAAGAGAAGGGGATTTTCTTTGCTTTACGTGGTATTGCATGTCTGACAGCCTTGCCCCCCTTCTCCCAGAAAGCCTTATGTGACCTCCTTATGGATGTGACGCACTAACTGAAAAACGCTGACTTCCACAGAACTCTCAGCTGGGCTCTTAAGAGATGAAATGCAGTTGCTTTCCCTTTCAGTTTCCCGTTCCAGTTGATAAAACCCATGGTTAAGAGAGGGTAAATAAAGCTCCCTTTAGCCCTTATAAAGGTTTCTTAATGACAAAGCCCAAAGAAATCATGTATGCTGGTCTGTGAGGGTGCTGCTTCTTTGCAGTGGTCAGTGGATGCATATCCGCCACACTGTGGGCTTTGGCACAAGTGGAGAACCAAAAGGCTCGGTCCAGGCTGCAGGCAGGGCAATATCTGGTGGGTGACTTTAGCTAGGCAGCAGTGCTTCGGTGTTTGCGTGCACGTTCCCCTCCCTGGTCCCTCAGCCCACGCCCTGCTGTGCAGCTTACCTTTTGGATGGTAGTTTCCAAGGAGCTTCCTGCACACGGATGGTGGGTGACAACGGGGCCCCGTGGCCTTCCACTGTGCTGACGGTGCTGGGGTAGCTGGGCGGGCTGGGGAAGCGGCACAGGGCAGTGTTGTTGGCATTGTTGATGTTGGCATTGGAGCCTGAAGATGAGTAGCTGCTGGGAGTGAAGGTGGAGTCCACCAGCTTCTCGTGAGATGGAGACTCGGTGTCTCCCTGGTTGTTGCCGGACTTATTGATGTGCAGAGGTCGCTGGGTGGTGAATGTCTGGGGGAATGCACTCCTGCCATCACTTTGGTAGTAGCTGACATGGTTTCCAAACAGGCCTCCAGCTCTCTGTCAGAGAAACACAAACAATTTTTTCCCTTTGTCAGTTAGAAGGTACGTGTGGTGTTCCCTGCCGAGACTGTTGAGGGAAGGAAAATGTGAGAAACAAAAGTGTGCACTACGGACTGGTGCTCTCTCTGCCAGAAAATGCAGTGCATAGACTTCTCTGTCAGAGAGACTAGGTACAGGCAGGCTGTGAAAGCTTCATCTTTCTAAGACATTTCAAAGGACTGGCCTTAAAGAAATGAACAAGTGGATAGTTGAGACAAAGGTGTCCAAATACCACCAGTCCTGGGAGGGTATGACTGGGTAAGGTGGCAAGAACTAGGTTACTGCACTCTGATCTTCACAGTGCAGTTGCAAAATAATATCTTTACATAATAAGGAATTTGAGAAGAGCACCAGAAACTATTAATCACCTGGAGGAACAAATGAAGAAAGATTTAATGAGCCAGTTATCTACTGTTTGGATGATGAGTTATGAGAGGGACAGACAGCATCTTTCTGTAAATGATTTGAAGGAGAGAAATGCCAAAGGAGAAGAAATATTACCAGAGGATACAATTAGAAGGAACAGGAATGAAATAAGAAAGGGAAGATTTAGGCAATTGCCCTGGAAATTTCCTCCAGGACCACAGGGTCTCTATTGGGCTCTGGGGTACATTTTGAAAGGACACTACTTGTGCCACTGAAAGAAGAACTCAATAAAAAATTGAAGTCTGCCTGGCTGATGCTCTGTGGACTGGAAGATGGCTTAACTGTGCAGTTCTTCTGACCCTTTGGCCATTGTCATTATGATTTTGTTTAGGTTTAATACAGGGCAAACATCCATTGAGAAGAAAATGGGATAAAATTTCTCAGGGTCTGACACCCTGACTCCACCAGTCTGTTTCCCAGTAGGGTCTACAAAAAAAAAGGAGCAGCCAGCTGAAATACAGAGTACATACAAAAAACACAGCACTCTTTGAGCTAAGATACCAATCTAGCCTCAGTTTGTAAATTCGTTCCGCACCTACCCGGAAAATATCATCTTCAGAGGCAGCAGAAACAGCTTCTTTCATGGCCTTGTCTAGCTCTTCTTCAGCTGTCAGGTCTCCTGAGATCGCCCTTCGGATCTCTGGGCCGATGTCGTGAAGTGTGCGCAAACCAGCCTGCAAAACAGCAAACTATAGAGCTTCATATCTCCGAGTGGTTATGTGAGAAACAAAAGCGATGTTAATCTGCTAAGAACAGTGGGGCCTTTCTACTTAATATAGCATCCCCAGCTCCTAGACAAATACTGACAAATTCTGCTCTTTCATCTCCAGCTTAGAGAGGGAGAAACTCTTAGTAATCCAACCCAGGAATGCTCACTGCTAGTCCCTCGGCTTCTTCAAAGCAGGTCACAGCCATAAATCCATGGGCCTGACCGTGCAAGTCTGCATGCTTTCGACTTTGGGTTCTCAGATCCACTACCAGAAGCCCTAGAGCAGCCACAGTTCCCGCTGAACAATGTACTCAGCACCTCTGAAAAATATGTTCTTTTTAATCAGCATCTTAAATACATATTTCATAGCTAAACTTCTGGCATCTGGATCTGGACAGTCCTCAAACCCCTCACTGACTGGAATCCACTCCAGGGAGGTATTCTGTGGGTATGTGGAGACCTCAGCCTGTATTTAGGCCTGTGTCACAACACTTCTTGGCTTGCTGCAAGTCCAGAGTCACCCTTCTTCCTTACTCTACAGTTGAAGGACAGAAATGGCACAGTCCTACAGCCAGGGGGGATTTCTTATTCTTTCACACAGCCTGGCAGTCCACCAGTGAACCTGTAGCCCAGTGATGAACAGATCCCAGGCACTGAATGGCCTTGGCATCCAGGTATGCTTCTTGCTTTGTAACTGATTTTGCCTCCTGGCAACATGCTCTCTCTGGTCCTGTTATAATGACTCCTTCAGAAAGGGTCAAATGAATGTAGTAATAAAAAGTCTGCTGGACACTTCATAGCAGCCCTCCAAAAGAAAGCCAAATTTCAAACATTACCAGTGGATTGATAAACAGCGACTACACCTCATGTGTGCCTTCCACCTCCAGAGCTACAGGATGAGGCCTGTGGTAGATAAACACCTATCCAAAAGGACTGATATGGTAATTTAAAGAGTCTACAAGCTCCTTTCTAGTGAGGGTAGCCCATGGCAGCCCCCAGAATGGCTGAGAGGGAAGTGGGGACAAATGCCTCAACCGTACCACCCCTGCCCATCCTGTGCCCATCTGTCACCTGTAAGGAGAGGGCGTTGCGCTGGGAGGGCTTGCCCACCAGGCCCTGTTCTTTGCGTTTCTTGAACTTCCTGAAATATTCTTGAATCAGGAAAGTAGCGTAGAACTTCCCAACGGTCACCTCGTCATCTGGAAAGGGGTAACAAAAACAAAACAAAACAAAACCATCACACAACAAAACTAATAAGCAAAGGGTTTTAAGGCAGGGTGTTTGCTAATGTGAGACTTGCAACTCAAGGCAGAAGCCCTAGGCACCACAGTACTTCTCTGCTTTTTATTCAGTACGCAGGGCTGAATGAAGGAAGGGATTGCTCCATGGCCAGAGCTTGCTGTAAGTAGTCAGGAGGTGAGGTACACCTGGCATTTGGATAGACTGGCTCTGCTGGCAGAGAACACCTATAGCTATGCACCTCTGGATGCACTTTGGTTTTGGCGAAGTGCCTCTATGCCTCTAAGCTTTGCAGCCTCTGGTGCTGGTTTGCTCCTGTGGTCTTGCTCTAGCAGTAGTCTCCCAGTCTGGGTCAATGCACGCTGCATTCTCTTGTGACAGCCTCAGGTAATGCATACTCCAAATCTGATCTCACTAACAGCACCTGACTGACCATCCATCCCAGACCTGATCTGGCCCTTCTCTGCACTGAAATTCTGTCCAGGTTGTGTCTAGCATGGGTGTGAGAGGACCACAGTGATCACCTCTCCCCAGAAGTGCAGTTATTGCTCAGTCCTTGCTATATTCTCACTCAATACAAACTGTTGATGAGCCAAAATGTGCACTCAGCTTTTATCCAGGTAACTCTCCTCACTCCTCCAAACCCGCTGTAAATTGTATTAGATATTGTCCTCTGACTTCAGAGGAGGCTGAACAAGGTTTCAAGATCTGGCTGCGGCTGTTAACTAGCTGCCGAGTGCTGCTTTGTGCAACAGTCCCTGGAGCCACCTGGAAGGTCAGTGAAGGTCCCCCTAGATGCCCATGCATCTGGGCTTCTAAGCAGCCTAGCAGAGAAAGAGCCTGCAGGCCTGGTAATTACAGCCCACCAGAGACACTGCGTAGAAATCTACTGCAATCAGACAAGGGACAACCCTCAGCCAGTCTGAACTGGTGTAACTAGTTGCCAGACAGTATCTTACAAAATTTCTACTTGGACAAGTAGAAAGCAGTTATGTGAGTAAAAAAAAAAGAATTATATGCCATATATGCCCAACAAGGCACTAGGTAGTGTCCAAGGGAACAAATCCTACAGCTGAAGTGGGGTGAGATCTAGGAATGAAGATCTCTCACTCCTATTTAAACACCTTTTCTTCCTCCCCTGATTTTTCAGCAGTAAGAACACGATATACATGTTTGTACAGGCAAAACCAGATCTCAGCCTGATGAAATGTCCAGACAGGCAAACAGGTAGTAACAGCTTGTGGAAGAAAGCCTGTCCCCTGTACTCCACTTGATGTTCACGAGGTGCAGTAGGACATGTCAGGTGGGGAAAAGACAGACATTCACAGACTGGGACAGGATCCTGCACTCACCACCTGCGGGGGGCACCACCTGGTCCAGCAGCTTCATGCTGGTGCGCTTCCAGATTTTCTTAATTATTGCTCTAAGCTCTTCATTGGCTTGCTCCAGGTTACCTGCAGGGTGAAAATCATCAGAGACAGGAATTAAGCCAGAGCCTGTAGAGGAGCAATTTCGCATGTCTAGCGTGGCAATCTCAGGAGGAAATACCAGGGCTTTTGCAGTAGTGGAAAGTTTTGGGCAAACAGGCACTCAGACCATTGCTGAAGTCCCCTCATAAAGACAGTGACTAAATATGCACAGTCATCTCAGAGTAGGAAGGCGACTGTGTTACTGTTTGTCTCCAGAAGCCAGAAACTAGGCAACTACAATGCTCCTTTGTCCTGAAAAATGAAAGTCTCTTTCAGTACTTACGCTTTCTAATTGAGATCCAGTGAAGGTTAAATATGATGAGAACAGAAGTCGGTTAATGGAAAAATACTGCTTGGGGAACAGAAATAATTGTTGGCAAAGATGCAGCTAGAAATCTAAAGACCTGGGAATTACCTGTTGCAATCCCTGCATCCCAGCATACATCAACCTCTTCACATGGTACCAAGAGACTTCCTTGGAGAAAGTCTGCACAGTGCTCTGAGAAGGCATGCCAGGCACGTGCAGAGCTTTCACCCTCTTACACGGAGGGCTGTCCCAGGACATTTATGTTTAGTCTCTCAAGAACAGCATAGGCTATAACAAGCCTTACACATAACCATCTGAACTTAGACATTATGTGTTCTTCTGTGGGGCTCTAAGTTATTGAGTTATTTATTAATTAAGCCACTCCCTTTGAGAGCAAATGACTGAAACAGATTCAGTTTATATTCTTTCTTTCTAGGTACATTTCTTCTCAAACTAGTCACCTTTGATTTATTGATTTATGTACATGCAAACCCCTTATACTTGAAGCTCTCTTCTCTCTGGGTGTACTACACCATTATCTTCTCCCTCCAAAGGTGCTGTTCCTCCAACTTTTCTTATTGCTCCCCAAGCACTAAGGCTCCTAAATATGTTGCACAGGGCTCTGCATGACAGTAGCTCTCTTAATATGATGCAGTGAAGACAGTGACATTAAATAACTTGCTGAGAATGAAACAGCTGGAAAGCATCAGAGGCAGAAATATGACTCAGGAGGGTGCATTCCAAACTCCTGCCCTAACCACTTACAAGATCCTGCAGAGGAAAGAAAGCAAGCAGTTTGAGGCTTCCCAGGAAGGTTGATGATTTCCCAGAAGTTAACTGGCAATGACTTTGAGAGTTTGAGGCTAAGACAAACAAGAAAATCTAGTCTTTTTTGGGTCTCTGTTTCATAGGACACAAGATGTTCTACAGGGGTTGCAGTGGGCTTTCTTTCTCAGGAGAGCCTCTTTGGCTCTGAAAAAGAATTTTAGTGAGGTGTGGCCTTCTAGTCTAAGCTCTTTTGCCTTCCAGGAACTGGAAGATTGGTGGTGACAGTGGCGAAAAATCCACCCAACTCTGGAACCAATTTGCACAGGGGGGAAGCTTCTTTGCCACTCTTACTTCCCGTGATTGCTCATTTCAAAGGACATTGGTCTAAAACATTTAACTTGCAGATCATCATAAAGAACATTATCAATAATCTGAGATGATACCATGAGAAACATCAGCTTTCTAGATAATACCCAGCTAGAAACACCGTTCTCTTCCTAGAATATATTATTCCTCCAAACATCTTTACATTGTTTTTTGTACCATGTGCCTGCATGTTAATAACTGGTATAATTTTACACAAAATGCCCTTATTGTTGCATTCCAGCTCAACACACTTTGGTGTGAACATCACTCAGCTACCCGTGCACTCAGCAAACTTATTACCTTCTGTCTTGATCCTCAGTGCTGTTCTGACCAACGCAAAGAGAGTGGCATTGAACATCACAGTCCCATCACTGTTCAGTGGCATATTCATGGAGACAAGGCGCTGTGGAGTAAGGAGGAGAAAGACAACAATCACACTTCATCAAGGACTTAATTTTGTTCTTCCTTACACACTCATGATGCTCTCCAGACCTGCCACCCCTTTCACCTCAGCATTTGTGACCTGTGGGTTTGGTTACACAACTTTAAGAGTACTTCTCATATCCATAATTTGTCCCAGCTCCGGTGAGAGATTGCCCTGGGGTCTCTCTCCCACTGGTAGATACTCTTTCCCTCAATGTGCCTATCACTTTCTAGCCTTTGTTTTCCTTGTTACCAGTAGGCACTCGAGCAAACTGATTTTTCATACCTCACAAGGCACCTGCAGGCTCATTTGCACTAAATATGTGACTGCTGCAAATATATATAGAGTCAGAATCTTTCACTGAAAAAGGGGGTATCCTTGAACAAAGGGGATTGGCTGGTCTGCTTTATCCAACTATTTCCCCTCTCCCTTTTAATATAGGGCTATGCCCACCTTGCAGTAATTCTGTAAAGCCACATAGGACAGAGAGTGGGTGCTCAGTAGTGTTGCAGCTGCAGGGTGAACTTCACTGAGACCAAGGACATACACCTGAGGCAAGGTGTAGTCATTACCAGATCTTACATCCTTACTTCTGTCTCAGGAGGTGAGAGACACCAGGGACTTGGTTTGCGCTTTTATGCATTATGGGGCTGATTTTGCCTGAGCTCTGTCTAATGCCACTTTCACGCAATGGGCCTGGTTCAGTACTAAAGTGGGGAAAGGATGTCATCCCCCATCACTATCATTGCTTTCATAGACTGTGGGGTTTGAACCAGGCTGAGACAACAGACAATTGCCGAGACAGCAGACTGAAAGGCATGGGCAGTAGGCCACAAAAGTCACATACTTCTGTGTATACACCCCGGCCTTTGTGTTTTGCTCTGAGTTTGATAAAACAACTACATGAGTCACATAGTAACTCTGGGACTTGTGAGGAGGTGAACAAAGAACTTCAAAGCAAGGAAGCGTAAAGGTTATAAGCATATCATTATTCACTAGAGAGTCTTTTTCAAAGCTGGAGTCTCACAACAGAAGACATAAGCGAGACGTTTTCACGGAAAATGTGTACTTGTTCTTCCTGTATTTTAATATTGTGCTCACACTAGGATTTTTTTGTGTGCACTATTTAGTCAAAAGAAAATCTTAGAGATATATTTGCTTGCCCTGTTATTTCTGTCCACCCTGCTTTGTCTTGGTGTGTATGTTTGAGACCAAACCACAACTGCTTGTGCCTCCCAGCCTTCCCCGAGCTGCAGCGTGCCTTACTTTGCAAGCCACTCGGTGGGGGCAGAGCTTCCCAAAGCCCAGGGGGGGCTGAATGCGCCGGAGCAGTGTCACCACGTCCAAGTGCTTGATCCGTCCCCTAAGGAAGACAGCACAGTGAGGGTTGCATCCTTACCGTAGGGCAACCTGCTGATTCCTCCGCAGAATGCAGTGCTAGAAGTCTCACTTAGATCTTCCCAGGCCTGCCACTCCCTGTAACCTGGACATAGCTGAGAGGGTATTTCAGACCTCTTATACTTGGTGCATTCCTCGGGATTTACCCTATACTCACATAACTCACTCGCTCAGTACAGAAATCACAGCTGTCTGTGATTCACAAGTCAATACATGCAAGAATTGACATTGGTGTTTTGGATGCTGCAGTTCCCTGTGCACGAATGGACATTTTGGGGTTGTCCCCCCCCCACTGATGTTCTCAAAATCTATGCTTGTTTGCCTGTTGGCCACAGGGCTATGGAAGTTACAGAGGTACAAAGGGTTTTTTTTTTTTTTTTTTTTTTTTTTCCCATACACATAGACCTGAGCCACTGTCTTCTGATACTTGTTTATGTTTATGTTTTGGGCTGTCACTGGAGCCAGTACAAAATAAAGTCCTGAAGCTTCTCAGCTGAGACAGCAGCAGTTGGATTTCTTTTAAATTTTGTAAATGTTATCTCAAAAGAAGAATTCTCTCATGGAGGGAGGAGGGGGTTCAACCATGGGACACTGGTGGGGAAGAGGAAAAAGGAGCACATTTATAGATGGGAAGTAACAGAATGTCATCTGGAGAGAGGGGTTATCTATGATATGGTTTCAGCCACTGCAGTCTTGCCTTCAAACCAACACAAATAGTAGCATCTGTTTTGTTATTTAACAGTGTATTTATTAGAATGCTGTGCTTGCCCCCTATCTATATTGAAAGTCTCTCTGGACAGTCACCCTGGATGGGAAAAAGGGTTTTGATTTAAGTATCATTCTGAAACAGTGACATGGCCTCACATTCTGCAGAGCCTGAGCCCAGATTAACCTTGACACTGTTTCCAGATCCAGGACTAAAGAGACTAACTAAAGAGACTAACTAGAACTAACTGCTTTTCATTCATGCTAAGGTCTCTTTCCACGGTTTTTGCATTATGAAGGGAGCTTTGCAATTACAATCGTCAACTAGACTGTAATGCCAGAGGGATCTAAACGCACTTTAAGCCAAAGCATGTGTCAAGCAGAGCATATAATACTGGATGTCAGTTAAGCTCTTGTGTGAGTTGTTCTTGTGTAACTTTAAATCCCTGCAAGTCTGCTGATGTGAATAACCTTGCAGAGCATGTAAAGCAGTCGTGTGAAGCTGCAGGTTGTGATGGGTCTATATGACACACGACAAAATGGAGATCTCAGCACAGCAGCTCTTCTGTGAGTAGAAAGCTAAAGAGAAGAGTCAGATTGGATTCAATATCCCAAAGACATGCAACAATAAAACAAGCTGCTAACCTCCCTCTCTAAATTTTCTCCTCTCCCCTTCCCTAAGCAGTCTGTATCTCCCCTTGACTGAAAGTGAAGCAATGTCCAGCCAGGTAACAGCGCAGCCTAGGTGCTGAGATTTTTGTGTGTATCCTTGCATTGCTTGCCTCTGGATTCACCAGTAATATTTTGTGGAGGCATCTATTGTGAGATATTTGCATAAAATACAGGAGGAATATGGCACTTACTGCACTGGGTCTAGAGAACAGAAAATAACAGGCCTGTTCTCCTGAGAGGCTCTGCTGTCCAGGCTGGGTTACTTACTTGGCTTCAGGGTCATACTCTGCCCAGATCCTTTTAAACTCATCCAGGTGGTGTGGTCCTAAAATGGACCAGTCCCGCGTCAGGTAATCAAAGTTATCCATTATAACGGCTACAAAAAGATTGATGATCTGCAAACAAGGATAAAGATGACTTGGTGGATGAGGCAGGTAGCAGAAGACTTTACTGTATTCTCAGTTCAAAGTCTGGATTTGGACTCATAAAACTAGGAAGTCATGGGGGGTGGTTTCTCTGTTCCCCCATGTCAGCCCCACAGTTTAAATGGGAAGATCCCAGAGGCAGGATGTCCTCAGCTGGTCATATTTTTCTCCTTGCAGCTAGATGGATGAGGCCCAGGTTTGCTGCAGGCACGCTGTGATGGCTTTTTATTTACCTGTCTTTGCCCACCCGGATGGTATAGCAGTGGGAGAACCTGGGATTTATCCTTTGTGGGCAGTGGGGCTGGGATGAAAGTCCTTTTTTCTGGCCCAAGACCAAAACTTTTAAAATTTTGCTGCTGTTCACTGGGAGAGTTCTGGGCACTGATGCCAGCTGCAGAGCATGTGCTGTTGCTCTGAGCAATGCCGCATTGCCAGCACGGAGCAGATGCAAGTGGGATATGTGTATTCTCACAGTCATTGCTGCTGGCAGGGGAGGAAAAACCTGCTCAGCAGCCAGAAGGAAGGTAGGAGGGAAGGTGGGAAGTGTGGCTGAGGCGTTGCTAGCCTCAGCACAGCCCACAACACGCTAATTTGGTTTTCTCATTCAGGGGGAGGAGGGAAGAGCACTCCTTTGCTGTGCTCAGAGGACTGGGATTGGGAGCAGAGCATCCCCCAGAGCTGCGGGGAGAGGCAGGAGCTGCAGAGACCGAGGGGCTGTAGTCACAGAGAGGGGGCTACTGGGGAAAGCCCCACGGGGAGATTTCCCACCTTTGAAGCCACCCCTCTGCTGTGCAGTGCTGAGGTGGGGGGGCAGTGTGAGCTGGGGGCAGGTTTTGGGTGCTGGGGTGGACTCACCAGGAAGGCACAGAGCATGTAGAAGCTGATGAAGTAGAAGACGGCGAAGCTGCTGCCGCAGGAGTGGTCGGCTTCAGTGGAGTTGGCTGGCTCCGACTCGGGGTCGCACTTCTTGTCTGGGAGACATGCCAGCATGATTTCCTGCCAGGCCTCGCCAGTGGCACACCTGGGCACAGCAGAGGGCGAGGGAAGACAGCAGTGACCTTTGATATAGGATGGGAAGGGACTGGCACACTAGCAACCTGCTCCTGCTCCACTGAGGTTGATTACAAACCCGTCAGGCTGACGGTCGGGCTCTGACATTCACTGGCATGTCTTGCTCCTCTTCATTAGCTCTGTTACCATTATGGGTATGTTGTTCCTGACTGACTGTGCCTAGTCTTGGTGTGGGGTTGTCATGGTCTGGCCAGTCAGAGTCACTGAGACGTGTGTGACGCAGCTACGGATTACAATAAAAACTTCCATGGAAAGAAGGAGCATAGACTGCTGCATTCACACCAACTCCCTGCCATCCTCTCCCCACCTTCAGCACCTCTCCTCAGCCCTGGCACACCTGGCCACAGCTGGAGCAGGATGATGTGCAAACTGAGCTAGGCCAAAGCATGAGTGGGAGCTCGTGCTCCCCTCCCTGCTAAAATTAGCTGGAAGTCATCCTGCCTCGATGTGAAAGAAAGGAGGAGTTTGTGGTATCAGCATTTGAGAGCACCGAACAACTGGCCACCTCTCTTTTGAGAGGTGACCTGGGGCACTGAGGGCTGGCCGGCATCAGGTGGCAGGGCACAAGGCTTACTGGCTTACTGGACTTTTTGGAGGCTTACTGGACTATTTGTTCCACCTGATGTGGCTCCTAGGCTGTCCCACTAAGGGACAACACATTCCACTCACCTCGCTAGCACGACACAGTAGAAGGAGATTATCTGTGCCCAAGAGCAAGGAATCACGCTCCTGGGCTGACACAATGCAGAGCTGTCAGACACCCACCTGAAAAGCAGCAGCACTGCCTGGGGGAAGGTCTGGAAGTTGTTGTTGCGGTTGATTTCCGTGGTATCGTTCAGCGCAATTTTACCAAACACCTGGCAGAAAGCAGAGGTCTTTTCAGGTTAGCTTTGCAAAGTCCCCAAACCTCTCGTTACCTGTAGCTCTTGGCCTCACCCTGACTTTGGAGACCTGACATTTAACAGAAACTGCACGTCTCTTAAACTGTCTTTCATATTTACCGTTCCTTCCCTTGCTTCTGCTTTATCACCAGAAAAGCACTAATATTTAACAGGAAGCCCCTTTCTCTATTTCATATATTGTGAATATGTGATATGGGGTCTTACGTTAACAGGCACTCACAAGGGGAGGGGGTCCAGCTGAAAGAAGCTACGGACACAGAAGGAAAGTCTCCTTCCCTCTTCGCTTATCTGTTTGCACCAGGAGGAAATGATAAGCAGAAAACCAACAGCTGCAAAGCCTTGAGGTCTGCGCGATGCCTTGCATCTTCCCAAAACAATGTAAAGTATGTTGCCTTGGCTCTGGAAATTATCAGAATGCCTGCCCTTCTAAAAACCATGCTTGTCACCAGGAGGTGTCTCAGGGCCACTCAGAAGGCAGCAATGTGAAGTTGATGACTAGAGTTGTCCAGAGAAAAAGGGAATGGAGCATTGGAAGTGAGCAACAGATGAGAAGTAATCATGAGAGGTGTATGATAGAGATCTAGTTTAAAGGCCTCATATTCTGGCTGAAAGAAGTGGCTCTCCCTGGTGGAAGTGAAGCAGACTGGTGGCTTGTGTGCTGTGGAAGTGAGGCTTTTGCAGAGAAGGTAACTCGAGGGCTTACAGCCCTTGTGGGGAACTTTGTCTTAGGTACAAAGTGATGGTAACAATTTTAGTCACTGCATGAGAATAAAACTCTGCTGGCTATTTCAGCCTGCTTGGGGCTCTCTCTGCACCATGCCTGAGCTGCTCCATATTATAATGGTGATCTGACAGACTTTTCCTTAAAGCCACAAAAATGGCCTACAGCTCCCTCCCAAGCCCAGCCAACCACTGCTGCACCAACTCATCCATCCGCAGCACAAAGCCTGAAACATTGGCCAGACCTTTTAGGGTCTGCCCTCAGATGTGAAGCCCCCGGTGCAGCAGAGTTTCAGGCTCCTTTGAAAAAATCTTATTTTGCTTTTGTACTTGCGGGCACTGGGGCTAAGAGCTTAACAAACCTTGCCCGGCAGAAAGGTCTCTGCCCAGCACAGTCGGTCAGGACTATTTATTGCCCATCGACAACAATGTGGCACAGATCTCAAGGACTTGAGTGCTGTTATCTCGTAGCCAAAATGAGCAGCAGGAACAGAGCAGCTCCGAGAGAACATGGAGCCTCTTTTCAAGCAAATGTCACTGATAATTAACACCCCAAGACAAACAGCGATGTGGAGAGGAAGGCCGTGCCAGCAGGGAGGGAGGGTCTGAACGTGGCAGGCTTTCTGCAGGGGTTCCTCGTGGACATGTGGGCCTTCCCCAGCCCCGACCGCCCCCACGCCGTGGGTAGCAGTGACAACCCCAGCTGCACTGAGGAGGAGCAGGAGGACAGCTTAAATGCTCAGAGGCAGCTCGAGCTGAGGCAGCCCATATTTTTCACTTCAGGCAGGCGTAGGCATGGGAACTTCCCATGCTGGAAGTCTGATTTTTCCTTTCTTCCCTGCGGCTTCCCTCACACATGATGCACCAGCAACAGCTTCCACGGATGCTTTGCATTAGTCAGCTGCAACGAGCTGCAAGTAGAGGTTCCTCTCTCGTGGCCTCTTCAGCCTGTGCCTCCTAAGCCATTACGTTAGTGGCTCCATCTGTCAACATCACTTTGGATTTTTCCCCTTGGGCACGTTGGATAGCAAGGCTCAAATGTTGTTAGGCTCCAAGTCAGGGGAGCAGCTGAGATAAAATGGAAGGTCTCGTTCACGTGGGTAATTCTTACAATTCTGTCAGATCTGGTACCTCTCAGCTTTCATGGAAGCTGCTCAATGGAGTGGGGAAGTTTCCTTCCTACGTGTCCCTATGTGTGAGGGAAGTCTACCTGTCTGCAGGTTCAAGAGAGCAGCACACAAAATGTTGAAACGCCATTTTGACAAAAAATTGAAGTAACAGGGCTATGAGCAAAGAGAGGAGATGAGAAGAGCTGTTTTTTTTGTTGGAAGGCAGGAGGTCAGAAAGCACTCTAGTGACCTAGATCCATGTGAAGGAGAGATGTATGATCTTCAGGCTGATGAGATGGTTAAACCAGAGGTGTGAGCATTTGCTAAGGATTAGATTTCCAACTCAGAATTTGCCTGATAGAAAAGGGAATAGAATTACAGAATAATCTATCTAACCCTGGCATTGCCATGATCATCGTAACCCCCATCTGGGTAGGTGCTGGGAAATCATTTTTAATGCTTTATGTAGCTATGTAACACTAGCGTAATAATCTCAAGTGATTTTCTGTATAGCATAGGTAATCCTGTAAAGATCTTGTCCACTTGAACAAGTTAGGTATTAAAGGCAAAGCAGCAAGTTTAAAGAATGAGCCCAGCAGATTAAATGACAGCTGTAATTACTAGCGGCAATTGAGATAACCTATGATAATTCAAGAAATGATTAGTTTTATTTTTCAGACTGGGGGAGGGTGGATGGAGTCTGTGAAAAGATGTGATTATAAAAACAGGAAACAAATTAAAATAAGGTCACAGAGGTGAGATTAATTTTGTTAGAAATTCTTTCTGAATTGTGAAACTAAGAAGCCCGTCATGTTTAAAGGCCTCTGGAAGTAATTATGCCTGCCTTTCTATAGTTTGGTCTCTCGTCCCAGATGGCTGACTTGTCTGAGATCTTTGATTAACACAGAAGTGGAAACTGAAGCTTAGTTTGAAAAGCACAGCAAATGAGGCTGGGACTGTCACAGACCGTGCCTGCATCGCATGCTGTCTTCAATGGTCTGTATGCAACATCAGTTCCTTGCACAGATGAATGCTCGGGCTGGTTCCAAGTTCATTTTGCAAACTGAATAGGATATTGTATTGATGCAGCTTCCTGAAGAACTGGCACAGACACAGGGTCGGTACATTGGTTCTGATCCCATATTTGCCTTCACGGGTGTAAATCAAATGCTGCTCTTTACAACCCAATGGAGTTAGGCCAGTGTGAAAGTGATGCAAGAGAAAAATGGGGTTTGTTCATTGCAGCATGGCCACGAGCCCACTGAAACAACTCTTCTAAGCCAATGAGCAAGGCACTAATTCACCTTTTCCAGAGCTGCTGGGTGTTCCTTTGGAGTGTGGAGTGCTGGCACATTCCTTTTATTGTTTGCATATCATATTTTGCCATTAAATGGATCGATTTTTTTGGTTTTGTTGGAGCGTGTTGTGATCCTTTTGGCAGTGCATAGGCAGACAATGTGTTCCAACCAAGCAGCTGCCTTCTTACCTTGCTTGGAGAAAATGTTCTTGTAAACCTTTATAACCACACATTGATCTAGTGACATTATAGATCAGCCCCCAAAACTCTAACAGGAGGAGAAAGAAACAGTTGAACCTTTAGTACCACTTACCTGCATCCCGATCACAGCGTAGATGAAGAATAGCATCACTATTAAAAGAGCCACATAGGGGAGAGCCTAGAAACGAAAAAAAAAGAGAGCACCGTGTCTCCACCAAGCCTGGCATTACGGAGCCGGGTTCTTGCTCCTACCTGGCTTTGGGGAAACTGGGCAGAGACTGACCGAAACGTGGAGTCTGTAATTCATCCAGCTGGCCACTAGATGCCTCTACAGGACCATATTTGCTCGCCCTCCGCGCCACCACCCTGCTGCCACCCAGCTCTGCCAGGCTCCCACTCGCGGTGCTGTGGCTCTGCCTCTTGCAAGTCGCTCCTGCCCTTGGCAGTGAGGAAAGCCAGGCCAGAAACAGCGTCCACAGCTGCTTACCATGAAGAGAAAACTACTGTAACCGATTTGATTCTGTCCCAAATGGCAATGTCCTTTGACTGTGTTTTCTTGGATCCAGTCTGGTGAAAGTGAAAATGCAACAGCTGCCCAGATCCAAATTCAAGGCTCCTACAAGGGCTGGTGCCATCCTAAGTCTCTAAATCGGCATCAGCTTTGTCTTCTGCTCAGTGTTAGGTGTCTGTGAGGGTGTCTGCAGCTCTCTAAGTGTCTGTGATCAGCTGTTGAAGAGGAAATGCAGAGCCCTGATTTGCAGAGCTGCCTCGGGAGGGAGAGGCCAGTGCAATCAGCAAAGTGTTGAGTGCTATCGGTTTCCTCCACCACTAGCAGGAATCAAGGGCACACAGCTCAGGGCCTCGCTGTCTTGGGTCTTTGAGAAGGAATTTTCTACTCTGTTGCTTTTGAAATATAGTGCTCAGGCCAGGGATTTCCAGACCTTACTTCAGAGGCAATGGGCGGATGTATTCATCCTGAGAATGCCAGTAGAGCCCCTGGGCTGGATTTTGAACATCCCATTTCATGGAGTATAAAAAGCCTACAACATCATTATTATTTTAAAATGTGATGTTATTTGTACATTTCCAGTTTATGTCTAAATTGACAATTTTCACTGACCACCATGGGGATTTGACTAAAATATGCAGAAATCACCTCAAAGACATCTGAATATCAAAATGGCCATAATTTAAACCTTTAATCAGTGTCTGTAATAATCATCTCAAGACCCAGAGGGAGATTCCTCTGTGTTTTATAGGGTCAGATGAATCTACATGGCTACCCCACAATGCCAGTGGAGATGCACTAGCTCAGAACTGGGCTCCACACATTTTGTGATGATCTAGTTGGGACGTGATTCACAGAGAACCTCAGTAGAGCTCCCAAGGTAGTGTCCAGACAGGACCTCAAGGACATAACCTTACCAGTTCTGTCTTTCACACAGGGCTTGGAAGAGTGTCTTCCCTCCTGCTCTCCATTTTCTTTCCATGTTTTTCTGCTCAGCCTATTGATGCATCTTCACACTCATGTCTGCTCCTTATTCCCCATGGCTCCTTCAGCTCCCCATCTCCCACATTCCACTCTCCTGTCTGTGTCCTCCTCCAGCCCCATCTTTCCCTGGCTTTACCACTCTGTCCTTTTGATTCCCACGGCCTTGCCTTGCCCTCAGCACCCCTCTCACTTCCTACTCCTCCCGCTTGCCAGCCTGCTCTTTGCTGGAGGAAACCCTGACGAGCATTTTCCCACCACACACTCCTCTGAGCAGTGCTCCAAGCTACATATAGGGCGTTAGGTGCACAGAGCACATCGTAGTTACAATGGGATCTGAACTCCTCCATGAGTCCATTGCCTATGAGGCTGCCCTGTGCGAACGACAACACTTCCTGGAAGCATGTGGGGACACGGAGCAGAGCTTGTGCCAGACAAAGTCTGCAGGGATCCCAGATTTTCATGGTGAGAGTGGCTGAGTTGGGAGCTCAGTGCCGGGGCTATTCTTAGCTCCTAAAGCAACCTCCCAGAATTTGCAAGAGGAGGAGCTCTAAGCAGAGAATACCATGTTATAAACAGCGAAAGGCTTTAAAGGGAAAAGACGCTTGCAGGTTTTTTTTTTTTTTTAATTCCCCCTGCTGTGGAAGATACCTCCCTTGATACTTTCTCCCACCACCTTTCAACCCTGCCTAAAAGTGACTCTCCAATCAAAGAGGTCTGGAGGTCACTGGAGGGAAGTACCAGGCACTCCCTTTCCCATCCATCTCATCCTCTCCAGCCAAGAGCCCTGGCAAGCTGAGCTCAGGATAAGGGCGAGCTATTGCTATGGAGGCTGGAGGAGCGCAGGGGGCATGGGGAGGGGAAGCAGGAACTGGAAAGTGTGACTCTGTCCCCTGCATCGGGGATGCTGAGCTGTGCCAAGGGAATCTCAGTCCTATGCATGCAGACAAAATGGTTCCCACTGGAGCTGCCCAAATAACAACCTGAAATTTAGCAACCATGACAGCAATGGGAAAATGGCCCCATGGTACAGCTGTGTCAGAAAACTGCTGTGCCATATCAGATCCTTTGGCAGTCAAGGACTGAGCAAAATGAGCATCATTTGCACAAGCCTGATGCTACAGCTACACCTGAGTACTGCACTAGAAAAGGTCCAGATTTGATCCCTGGTGTAAACATGTGCTACTCCTGCTAACAGAGACAGAAGTCAGGGTGATCCACAGCACCGCAGGCCTTGGTCTCAGCTTGTGTCATAGCTGGTGAGGTTCCAGTTTTAAAGAGTTGGTCAGCTGCTTTCTCATTTGAGTCAATAAAAATGCAATCAACCATTTAAAGCCTGAATCTGAGGGCTATGTGGTAGCTGTTTCAAGATTGCTGTGTTGTGCAAGTCACTCTTTCATGCTTTTGTCCAGTAGTGTGTCCCTACATCTCTCCTCATGTTTAGATCACCATTTGTATTACTGTGCCATCCTTCCCTGATGCTTCCTCCAGATCTGCCCTGGCTCTTGGCCAGGTTTTGCTGGCTTACTGAGTCTGGTCAAGTGGAAAATGCATTCATCTCTGCACAGCATTTTTCTGTGGGTTAGTGGCTAGTTTGGAAGCTTTTTTTTTTTCTTTTTTTTTCTTTTTTTTCTAGAAATTAGCTATCTCTTGGTGTTAGTTTCATCTCCAGAGGTGATGATTTTTATCGTCTGGCCTCCTTTGCCTTCTGCTATCTGCTCTGGTACTTCACCTAGCACTGAAATGCACCTGCTGCCAGGGTAAAAGCAGCAGCAATTTAATAATTGTCTTTGTTACCAAGGCCAAAGGTTTAGGGCCAAGAAGGTGAAATTCTTCATCGATGAAAACACGGGGGCTACACACCTATAATATTGATTGGAAAGCCTCAAAACAAGGCTTAATGGAAATTTAATTGAGGCCCTTGCCTTCCACATAGCTGTGAATTTCACTTAAATCAACAGATATAAAATACAGCTCAAATGAAAAAAAAAGAAAAAAAAAAGATTGAATGGTTACAGTCAGACAGTAATTGACCTGAACAGAACTATCAAGGCGGTTCAGGAAGGTCTCAAGCAATTACTCATGCTTTAAAGATGAAACACATCCACCCTGAGCCCTGTTTACTCGAGGCTTACTCATACCACGTGCAGCTCTGATGAGCGTCCATTCAGCTTGGGCAGCGGCCATGTGGGTGAAAACCCTCCCCGAGGGTCAACCGAGGGGAAAAAATGAAAGGGTTATGTCCTACTGCGAAACAAGTGAAGGAATACCTGGAAGGACTTGATGAAGGTCCAAAGCAGTGTCCGGATGCCCTCCCCTCGGCTCAGGAGCTTCACGAGACGCATCACGCGGAAGAGTCGGAAGAAGGTGATTGAGATGCGAGAGTTTTCCTCTGCGTTCTGGAAGCCATTGGCACAGAGGCAGGAGTTACAACAGCACGGGAGGAACAAGGGCCCTGGGCCACAGAGGACGCTACGCCGAGAGCTCACTGCACTGTTCCTTGTCCTGGTAACGCTCCCTGGCCTTGCACTGCCCCGGCACGCCAGGGATGGCTGAGGCCGCTCTGTCCTGCCTTCTCTCCCACGGTGCTGAGGCTACCTATGGGGGCTACCAAGGCCATTGGCCTCTCCCTTCAGCTTGCCTGGACTTCTAGGGATCAGGGGTTGATTGTGCTCCCTCCTCTACATTCTCCCTAACATGGGAAAGATTTAATTCTCCTTGATATTTTACTGGAGGAGAGTGATACTTTCTTTTTAGACCTGCCTCAGATGTTTTACCCCAGCAGGCCCCTGATCCAGCTGCTGAACCTGCTGTGAGCACCAGCCATGTGCTGCTTGCTCTGGGAAGCAGTAGCAGGTCCCAGGCCTGCTGCGGGGTGCGAAACCCCCCTGGGGCTGGCCATGTGCTGCCCCCGGCCCCACAGCCCTGCTGTCCCTGTGCCACTGAGTCTGTGCCGCTGGGGGCTGAGCTGTGGTCACCAGCTCCTGCTGCTCTGCTTCTGGGCCTTTCACTTTTCTCATGACCCTTTTGTACTTCCCACAGTCTGTGCACTGCCTTTTTTTTTTTTTTTCTAAAGAAAAAACACAAGCGTTTTCTTTTGGCTTCACTGCTACTGTTCAAGCGTGCGGTATTTTTAAATACTCTTTTTTTTTTTTTCTGGCCTGTTTTTTATTTTTTATTTTTATTTTTTAATTTTTCCTCACAGCATCTGCTTTGTCCCTAAGCATTTTCCCTTGGGCCTGCAGCCGGCCCTGACGTTGCTCAGCCTGCACACGTGTGAAGGCAGCCTCCTCCCGAGCGCTGAGCTGCCAGCCCGCGTACCTGGGCCTCTGCAGAGGACTCGCTGTCTAGCTTGAGGGGAGGCAAGGCACAGAAAATGTGATGCTTCCCAGTTCACTAACCCCCTAAAATGCTGTGCGAAGCCTGTGGAGCTGGGGGTTTCCGCTAGGAGCACTGTGGGAACGTAACCTCCTGTCGTGGGGAGATAACACTGTCACCCTGCCACTTGACCTGCCTGTGGAGCAACGGAGTGCCCAGAGGCCTCCTTCTGTCCCCACCCAGGCTGCAAAGACCAGAGTTGGAGCCTAAACACCAAAAGAGCAACGTTTCGGAGGAAGAAACAGTGCAGATCACCCCCTGCTGTTAACTACTCACCACTGTGTAAACCAAGAGAGAACAGACCCTTGGGATTTCCTGCCACAGGGCGGCAAAAGCCGCATCTGCCTCTGTATTTCTGATAAAATCTGAGGCACAGAAACTGCCCAGATGTACATTTCTGGGATTAAAACTCCAGCTGTGCAGATGAGGACGTGTACCTGTGCTGTGAGCGTGCTCCCATTTCCCACCTGGGACGTGCAGATTTGTTCGGCTCCATCCGCCCCGGCTGCATCTCAGCCCTGCCTGCTGATGTGTGTGCCTGTAATACTTCAGGACTGTGCTACAGCTGCAGTTTGTCTGTCTATCCATGTGAATCACCGGTGGATATTTTGGGTAGCTTCCTCCAGTCTGCAGCAAAGGCTGACGCTAGCTGCCCACGCAGTAGCAGGGCGAAAAAGATTAGGGGAACAGGCTGTGTCACGGAAAAGCCTGAGTGTTCCCTAAATCTCACATCATTCTTATTTTCTGACTTGGACAACAGTCTGACGGCTTCAGTGAACTGGAGGGAATGGTTCTGAGGTAAAGGAGGGAATGTGGCTACCAAAAAATCAAAACTCTTGTCAATTAATACCCTAAGAACTACCATCCTATAGGGCTGCCTGTAAGGTCTCTCCCTAGCCTACAGAAGTTTTATGGCCACCTTTTGACTTTTCCTAAGGAGATAAATTCCAACACTACCTAAAAGAGAATTGAGGTTGAAATTTAAAAATTGTGTGGGTGTCACTACTGCTATGGTTGTGACAAAAAAAAGAGAAGTGTTTTCTTATTCTACCTGCTGCTTCTCCTTGCGGACTTGACCCTTTGGATGGCAGCCAGTTGGGGCATGAGTCTGGACAGATGTTTTAGTATTGCTTTGTCTTTCCTTGCTGAGAGGAGGCAGGAGATGTAAGCAGTAAACTTCTCATGCCCTCCAAATGTCCTGTGATAGACAAAATCTACACAGTGGACAAAGTGAAACAAATTTCTCCCTGACACACATCTCTGCAACTCGCTGGCATCAAAACATGTAGCCAAAAATATTCAGTGATGCCTCAGGAGATTATAGTCATTTTAAAACTAGGTGGCTACACATTAACCACTGTCGCGGTAGCTTACTTTCTCCTCTGCTTTTTGAAGGCACATCTTTGCCAGAGGAGGGAAGTTCTCAATCAGAGAATGGAGTTACTGCTGTTGGTGTAGCTTAGGAACAGCCTTGCACACCAAAGCAGCATAATCTGTGTGTGCTACTGCACTGCTTATTCTTATTTGTGCAAAGTATGAACTCAAATGTTACACTGACAACATCTCATTGAAAAGGAGCTTCAGAGCTCCAGTCCTTTCTAGTCTGTAAGCCTGGATGTGAAATCACATTCAGCATCACATTGGTTGTGATGTAGTGTGTTGCTAACAAGAAATCGTACCAGGTCTGGTTCTCTCTTGGTGATTCATTAGAAGGCAGAACGACAGTTAACTTGACCAAAGGAAAGCTCAGGATGCACAAGAAGTACACATGTGCAGCATATTCACAGCTCATGTGAACACCAGACTCACACCAATACACAACATGGCAGCTTCATGCACAAATAACTAGGCTGGGCTTGGAGAGAGAACTCGTGATCGGGGAAGAGAATAAAGGAGTGTGTTAGAAAGAGTGTCACAGAAGCTGGGAGGGTGGTCTGTATTTTTGGTCTTACCATAGAGGAAGAGCATTGGGTATGTTCAGCTGGCTTTAAAGAAAGGCAGACAGAAATAAGCTGTAATAAGTCTCCAATCAAGAGCCCTAGTAAACTAGGTCTTGGCTAACACAGGAGCAACAAAATGGCAGAAGAGGGCAAAAGGGAGTGTGAAAGAAATGCACAAGAGGCTGGGCTCATTCCCTGGGATGCCCAGGATCAAAGCTGGCCGTGGCATTAGTAGGTACAACTCGCACTGAATTCAATGATGTGAGCTGTATCCACTAATACCACACACGAATTTGACCCAGATCTTCTGAGTGCTAGATATCCTGAATCCAGGCAGTGGAGGCACTGATACTGTTAAAATGTTTATTGTGTCACTACTACCAAGTTCAGTACAGGGGGCTGATTTAGCTCCTCAGCTCAGATCCAGGCAATGCCTGCATAGGGAGCAGCCAGCTTCTAGTGCATCAATCTGATCCGTAAACCCATAATATCCTGGTGCTAAAGCAACACTTTCTATCTATATACGCCTATTCCTCTACATATAGTTCTGGGTGATTACATTGTTGTTACTAAGAAAATGGGCTGGGACAGTGTAATTAGCTCTTGGCAACCCTTCAATACCCACCACTGGCTGTGGAAAGTGCGTTGTTAAAGCTGGTTAGCGTGTTCTACCTTCACCCACCTCACACCAAAGCTCCAGGGACCCATCGGATACATCCTTTGAGGCCAAGCAGAACTGAACTGAGCCCCAGTCATCCCTGGAAGGGTTTAGTTGCTGCAAACACTCTGCCTGACACTCCCAGAATAACATCTGGGGCCACTTCCACTACTGAAAGCAATTCTTAAAAACACCCAAGGCAGCAAATACCTTTAAGTTTAAAAAGCAGAACTGAAAATTAAATAAAGGCAATGTTATCAGGAGTCCTTCAGTTCAATGGTAGTGTAATCCTTCAGGCTTAAACCTCTTTCATATGCCAAACTGGTCTGACATTACTTATTGTGACTACACTACCAACGCTGAACCTGATGTACTTCTTCTGCCAACAGCAAAAATCACCTCTAGTGCCATGTAGGACTCCCACAGTGTGCTTCTGCTCTCCAAGGACACTGTACAAAATAAGCTGGCACAATATTACCTAAATAAAAACTGTATGTTGGATGGTCAGCCTATTTGGTCATATAGGCAAATGAGACCAATTAAAACCCCACGCTATTCCTAACCATGCAGTATTTGTTTGGGTTAACTCATTGGTTGGTATTGTCAGCTTTCGTTGCTTTTATCCTTCTCTTTCATGTGCTTGCTCTTATGTTTTCTTTTCAGAAGAAACTTTCAGGCAAATGTTGGCCTGAATACCAAGTAAGGGAGCAGTGTCCGTAGGGATGTTTCTTACAGATTTTGATTTTGTGTTGCTGGGCAAACCTCTCCTTTCCACCAGTGCATTTCTCTGCCCCATCTCCCTTCCTCTCTCTATGAGTTTTGCCAATCATCTTTTCTAACAGTAGGAGGATCCTTATTCTGCTGGCTGCTGCTTTCCTGGTACTAGGTACAAAGCTCCTTCAAGCTGACTGAAGGAAGTCAAATATTTTTCAGCACCTTTCAGGATCCAGCATCTTTCCTGGCTAACAGTGTCAGTGCATCTGTGACTGGTTGTCTGAAGAAGCCTTATAAGTTATTGTGGAATACTATACCTTAATTGTCACTTTGATATTCTTAGTATTTCATCAGAAAGGGAGGATAATAGTAACTTAACAGTAAAAAAAAATCTGTATAAAACAATATGGCTATGTAATGAGCTAAAACGCACTGTTGATATGAGATGCTCAACTTGGAGGAGTTGTCAACATGTTGAAAAACTAGGAGCCACTGTTAATCTTTGGCATTGCTAAGAAAGGGAAGTAGAGGTAGACTTACTCCACTCTTATTCCCTTAATTAACTGGCCTGTATTACAAGATGCAGTCAGATATGAAGCATATTATATCACTAGCTACAATAAAGGCTCAAAAGCAGTGCAGGAAAGTTTCTGCTAATGCTGACAGATGATAGTTGTACGAACTCAAGCAAAATGGGCAGAAGTTCTTAATACGCTTGTACTCATACAGTAGTTTGTGCATGATTATATGGGGGTGAGAGGAATTAATCCCCAGTTGTGTGGGTTGCTGAATACATTTTCTGATGTCCACAGTAATTTGAGAGAGGAGCCAAATCCTTCCATTTTCTATGAGTGCCAAAGAGTCACCATACAGACCCTGAGCACAGTTATCTGAGAACTTCTTACCGGGACTTTAAAGTGTGGCCATTCCTAATAATAATATAGAGAGCTATTGCTAGATTTTCTGGGAATCTGTAACATTGCTAATGACGAGGGTATGCTAATTTTAGGACAAAGACGGGCACCTGGCACCTGAGAACTTAGTAGGTCACATTTGTTCACAGGGATAGAGACATGGTGATAGGTACTTGGATTTGAAGTTGGTGTCTATTGCCCCACTGAAGTGAATAGGATTTTATTTCTACTAATCTCAGAACAATGTACAAAAGCAAATCCTCATCTGTTTATTATATTTGAAGGAGTCTTTATAGAAGTAACACTACTTAACAGAAGGTGGCTTTGGTTGTACTATTTTACTTGCAACCACCTCTTCCTCTGCATGTGGTTCAATCTGCCACGGAAATTCATCTATTCTACCCTGTTCTTGTCATTTGGGGCACAAGTAGCATGCACATAACTGAATTAAGAGAGCAACAACACCAACAGTGAGATCAGCCAAGAGATGATGCTCTGAGCAATTTCTATCATAGAGGAAAGGGACCAGAATTAGATGTCACAAACACATCCAGGGACATAGTAAGACTGATATAGTCTTACTTGCAGGTTAAGAGGGGTAAGAGGAGAAATATCTGAGGCAGGATGATTTTTTTTTATTTTTATGTTACCATATTAAAAAGGTAACAGTTGTTAAGGAACAGAAGAGGTCAAGAAACAGAGAAGCAGGTACTAAAAGCCAAAGTAAAGATTGAGTAGGATGAAGTCTGAGGGATCCCTGAAGCACGTCTGGAAAGCTCCTCAGATTATTGTTGCCCACAGGTACCTCATTTTAACTATGCCCAGTGTGTGTCAGAGCACACATGGACACACTGCTTGAGCTGCTGCTCACCTGTTCACATTGTTAAAGCTCCTGCAGGCACAAAAATGAAAGGTACAGCTTATGCCCATCATGAATTCAGGATCCCAGGTAAGGAAGTTTCCAGAAAAGAAGACATGCTTATTCAAGAGACATACTTAAAATCTCAGAGGACACAGTTCAGAATAAGGTAACTGTTTTGTCTTCCTGCCAGTCTTGCTCTCTGGTTAACCAATAAAGAGTGCTCCACCTGGGTAGGTGGGATTGAGTCTTACTGATGGCTACTCCCAAAGAACATACCAATAGGGTACAGGGAGCATCAGTCTCCTGAACATCTACACTGACTCACATATGAGTCATATCTGATTATGCCACCAAGTCGAGGAAATATTGCTTAACAGAGGTAAGAGGATTGCTGTGTTTAGGGGCTTTCCAGATGCTGAATATAACACAAATGCTTTGAAACATAGGAGTGGATAACATTTGCACTCCAGGAGATCCAATTTCAATGTTTTAAGGGTGCTGTATAACAGTCAATATTGTACTACAAAATGCTGTTCTGTAATCCAGAACAAATTCTGATTTTTTTTTTTTTTTTTTTTTTTTTTTTTTTGAGAAGGGATAACTTGCATTCAGAGCCATAAAGACAGAAGCAAAAACATGAGCAAAAAGACTACAAGCTGTACCATCATGGTGGTATTGAAGCCCCTTGAAATAGACATGACTTTGAATATCTTCTGGATAGATCAAGATTTGGAAGATAATAATAAGGTGAGTTAATAATTTCAAATGAAAGTTTCAGTAGAAAAATCCTGAGAAGAGGCATAAATCCCTCCTTGTCCCTGTGGAACACTAGAGACGGAGGAATGCTTTGAGAGGTTTGAGCTCCCTGTTTTTTTTTGTTTTGTTTTGTTTTGTTTTGGGCTGGTTTGCTGACAACTATAGGTCTTTTCAAAGAATTAGCACCTAGAAACAGGGGACCTCCACTAGGTTGGTAATTAATAAATCCATGGAGGCTCCTTAACTACTCAGCAAGTATGTTTCAGTACTTGTAGGAGCGTGACTATCATTGGGATGACAGGCAGGTGGCATTCCTGTTACCAGCACTGTTGATGGGATTGATTTTTTACACCACTGGACACACTGAAGATGTTGAGCATAGCCTCTGTATGTGCTAAGAAGTTCATGCTGAATTTTCCCCTAGCTTTGAGCAGTAAAATTTCCTACTTTCTAGTAAGACTCATTCCATTTATGGGGAGGAATCTCTTTTTGTAATCCCGTGCAAGGCAGAATCCAATGTTAGGCCTGGCTTGATCTAGGGAACCTATAAGCATCTCGAATGCACAGAGTTACTATTGCTTTGTTTGCCACACTTGTCTCACTCAATACAGTGCTATAATGGCCACATTCTGATGTTGCTTGGTAGTCTTAGATTTGAAGAGATGAGACGAAATCTGTTCAGTACTTTAGCACCATGATATGGTAGAGCATCTTCATATGTCTCAAGAAAACAAGTTGTTCAGATGCTTATGTTGCCTTTTGCGACCAACAACTGCTAATGGGATTTCTCCACTGAGGACAACATAGCTTGCGGATGAAACTCTTTAGAGATCACTTGCAGTAGTTGGTTGTTGGTGACAGATGTTTCCTTGATTGGTGTTGAGGATTGGAGAATGAAAAGCTACCCATGAAGATGCTGTATCTGTTGGAAGCTTGTCCACTGGTTCTTCAGTGAGGAAGGGGGTGATAGGAGATTACCTCTTGCTTTTTTCTACTTCTTGCAGGAAGGATGCCTCTGAGAATCTGCACTGTAGAGTTCACGTGAGCAGGCTGCAGTGCTGTGTAACTCATTCACTGTTCTAGGATATCAGTCTTTTTGCACTCAAGTTCTTTGTATCTTGAAGTCCTCCAAGGCTGCTGC